GTTCCGGTTTAGGAGATTCTTCAGGTTTAGGCGGTTGTGGTTTAGGAGACTCCTCTTGTTTTGGTAACTCAGACTTGTTTATAGGTTCTTCCGGTTTAGGAGATTCATGGTTAGGTGTAGGTTGTTTTGGTGTTTTTGGTGTTTCAGGTTTTGATGGTTGTTGTGGTTCCGGTTTAGGTGATTCATCGGGCTTAGGCGTAACCGGTTTTGATGGATTAGTTTCCGGTTTTGGCTCGGACGTCTTTGGTGGGTTTGGTGACGGTTTAGAGCCACCGTTTCCGCCGCCGGAACACTTGTCCTTGCTACAATCCACGGGACGACTAACCACCGGTAAACATTGCTTAACCGATTTCTGGTTCGGTCTATTCTTCAAACAGTTACTCGAATCATCAAATTGTTTACCATTGTTTCTCCCATTAACACAACTCTCAGCTTCTCCACTGAAAAAATTGTAAGAAAACTTAAAGCTTTCCAATTTAGGCAACTTGCAAAACTGATCAACAACAGATCCGGTTAGCTTATTATTCGACAAATCCAACTGCTCAACACTACCTAAACCGGACAAACTCGACGGTAAACTACCGACAAAACCGTTATTACTCGCGTCGAAAACCGTCACATTGTTAAGCAAACCGATCTCGTGAGGGAAACAACCGGTTAAATTGTTACCAGTAAACACAACCTCATTGAGATTCTTCATCCCACCAATCGATTTCGGTATACAACCACTGAATTTATTATTAGCAAATGTCACAACCGAAGCAGTCGATTTACCAATCGTACCGGGAATAACCGAATCAAACCGGTTATTGTTCAAAAAAATCGCATCGAGATCTCTATCAAATATCTCCGACGGTAAACACCCTTCGAATTCGTTGAATCTTAAGTCGAGATACTTCAAAGACGGCCACGAGAGAGAAACTTCCGGGAATTTTCCGACGAATCGATTGTTACTAACATCGAATTCGTACATCAATGCAAGTTTCGACAAGCTTTTCGGTATAATCCCACAAAACCGGTTCGAATTAATGTGAAACAAAGCTAGATCTGTAATAAGACCAAGCTCCGGTGGTAAATGTCCGGCGATATCACCGTGGTTTAAATCAACACCAGCAACAACTGTGAGGGTTGGATCGTCTAAAGCTTCTGCACAGTAAACTCCATTGTAAGAACAAACATCGGATCCGACCCAGTTTTTTGTGGTTTTAAACGGGTCGGAATAAATCGCTTTTTTCCAAGCTTGTAAAGCAATGTAAGCATTTTTTAGACGATCGTTTTCAAATTTGAGATTGGGATCGATTTTGTTAATGTTGTAACATTTTTGTTGAAGGTCGTTTGTGAGATCGGCGTTTTCAGGGAAGGAAGCTTCATCGTCGATGATGGTGGCGGTGACGACGGAGACGGTGGAGATTAGGAGGAGGAAGAAGCAGCCAAAGAGCCTATCCTTTTTTGTTTTATTAATCATTTTTTTTTTTTAAATACGAAACCTTGGAAAGGCCCAAGGCTGCTTATTAGAGGAAAAACCTTAAAAGAAAAAGAAATTTAAGAATGAAAGAAATGTAATTATAAGAGAAACGAAAATAAACAAACTTCATAAGTTTTTTTTTTAGACTCGAGTTGCTATATTTGGAAGATGTAAATTTAGTTTTATTTTTATTTTTACAGGATTATAAATAGGGAATACTAAATTGATGTTACTAAATTGGATTTAAACTATAAAAACCTAATATAGGTCGTTGACGTCGTAAACAACCTCAAATTGTTTGTCTTTGTTTTACCATAATTGAAATGTTAATGACTGGTTTCTACATGTTATATAATCGTTCGGAAGATTTTTAAAACGACTATTACATGTAATTTTTGTTAGTGATGTCATTTTGTTACTATCCAAATTTAAAACATTTATATTATTATATACAAAAAAAAAAACAGTGAAATAACATTTTTTGTGTTGTCACAAGTCCGTTTACTACATATCGTTTCCGGTTTCAGTGTTTCAAAGTTCACTATACTTTAAGATAGTTACCAATTATTAAAAACGACAAAATTTTGTATTGTTAAAAACGATTTATGTTCAAAACTGTGATTACAACCTTATTTTGATTTTGAGAATCTTTATATGGAGTCACCATTATAGTCACTGGAGATGGTGACAGAGAATAAGAGCAAAGTGGTGATTTCACCATTTTGGTTCATCAAAAACTCAGAATTTCAAAATTATGAGAACGAAAAATGAAAGACCCATATCAAACTGAAATCAGAGACTTTAACAAAATTTTTTTTTTTGAATCTGAGGAAGAAGAACAAGTTGAGTTGGGTATTCATTACGGTTTACAACCGGTTTATCCCGATGTAGTGTGGAAAACCGATTAATGAATGATTCTAATCGTAATTTTGAACAAAAATCGCAAAATCAAAATTATGTGTAGTTTTGAGTGTAAAACTTTAAATTGTGAAAAAATAAATTGACAAACTTAAATGTGTGTAGTGTTAGACAGAACCTGATACTTTACGTTTATGTGATGCTATATGTTGCAGAAATAGATGACAAAGTTTTTCGAGACGTTAACGTTACTTGGTGGAGACCATCCAAAAGAAACGTAATCCTAAACGGCTAAGACTCAAAACATGGATAAGACAATAATTTTTGTATTTGTCTAGTATATAATAATATATTGCCATGATTTTTTTTTTGCTAAATTATATATTGCCATGATCATTATTCGACTATGACACAAATATTCAATATATTTAGAGTCTATGTAAAAATCCGACTAAGACATATATACCTATCTTCAACAAAATCTGATCTACCTTGAAAGTGTGAACACATGTTATGTAAAAATGAAATATATAACAGTATTTTCCTTTTTACAGATCTTATGAAAAAACACACTATACAAATGAAATATATTATACACGATCGAGAATGTCTAAGATTTTATATATTCACGGTGTATGTAAAGTGTACACCGTGAACCATAAGAGAAGAATACATGCAATTACAGAAACCCTACGAGAGGAATGGGAACGGCGGAGTAATTACTCCGGCGAACATTCATCACCGTAGTATATTGAATCACCGGCGGAGGGCGGTGACGGAAAGCTACTTCAATTGATTCAGCCACGGCGGCGACGAAATCTACGGTTAGTTTCACCAACTCGATGCAAATCTCTAGTTTTAGAGTCACCATTGTAGACTAAGAACAATTTTTTTTAAAATACACTTTTTTGTTTTTCTTCTCTCTATTTTCCGCGTCTCCAGATACCTTGCTCCTCTTTGCCAAGTTACATGCAAAATACTAGACTTATATATACGAAAATCAATATTATTATTTTATTTTTGAATGGTCTATTGTAATTGGTTGATTCGTATACCACGTGCATTAAACTTGCAAGCAATTATTAGGTTTTTGTGTGTTTTCTTTGGAAGATGCTTCGTTGGCCTTTGGTTTATATGAAGAGGCAAATATTACTTCAGGGGGCGTTTCATTACAAGCACGATTGCAGTGTCTATATATAAATGTCTAACCTTATTTTATACGCATATGGGTATATTTGGTGTGTATAATTTTATTATACTATATGGTGTATAGAGAGAAGCAAAAGTTGTTAAATAAATAAATCTATCAAACGGATTAAATCATGTTGATGCTTCTAAACAACTAGATAAGTCATGTCGGGTCTGAATTTAAATACAAACTTAAATTTGTTATTTTTATTCACTATGTTATTATTGCTTCGGGTGTACGTTCAAAAACATATATAAGCCAGAAGTATAGAAATCAGCATTTAAATAAGATGTATGCAAAAAAAAAAAATGTATGCAATTGTTTGATGGGAAATTGGGTGGAATAACCCAAAAAAAAAACTAAGAAGATAACCAATTAACCTAAATCTAGTGTATATAATTATGCCACATACCC